CCCCCTATACATATATACACATACATATATATATATATATATTCCAAAAAAATATCTCATTATTTCAGTTTCATTATTTCAGTGGGGGGTGTCCGTGTGCGTGCAACCGTCTGCGCGTGAGTCCGCTCCGCCGAAGCAGCTGTAGGCTCTGAGCTGTGGGAAGCTGACAGACATCAGACAGCAACTGCTACTTCAAGAGCGGGTCTGGTATGGCTGCAAAGGCCCGAATGAAGTGATGAGGGGCTTGACTGTACGGAGTGAGACGGCTGCTCTGTGAGGCGTTAAAGTGCTCTTCCACTGTGTAGCCAGAAGATGGCGCTCCAACGTCAAGTAAAAAACAAAACAAAAAGTAAATATGCACTGCAACTCATACAGCTGTTTGTCACTTCATTGGAAGTCAAACCAAAATATAGCACCGCCTATAAGAAAAAACACACTTAAACCTTTCAGATGTTACTATATTTCTATTGAGACCTAGACATGTTTTATTCTCGATGTCACTAATCTTCTAAAACCTAATACAAGTCTAGGATCATTTACTTCTGCTGTGACATCTGTGTTAAATCCACGTTTATTAGAAATCTTCATCAAAGGAATCTGTTTACACCATCCCCGTCCCACCCACCCACTGCCCCCTCGCTATCCTCTGATTGGACGGGCGTCCTGCCAGTCAAAGACCGGGCCCGTTATGCGTCCTTCACTTGCTTCTGGAAAGCTCTGGATTCTGACTGTCGGAGCAATCAATTGGGGTAATAAAAGCCAAACAACAATTAATAAGTCAAAAAAGTACGTAACAAAGTAATGCTTATTTATTTGTAATAAATGCAGTTGTTTAATTTTCGAAAACACATACCAAAAGAGAGACATCCAACGAGACCAATCCTTGTCAGAGGGAATACCAATAAGATGGGCTGCAGGTCAGATAAAATCAGCCAACAAATCATGTCGTGGATTTTGTGTCCTCTGTCCTTTAAACATCCCATTCGACAGCTCGGATACAAAGAACAATTTCCAAGTCTTATTTCCTCAGATAAATCTTTTATGCAACCCGCACAACCCGTTTTGTTGCACCCCGTTGGTTGCCGCACGCTGCCTCAGCGTGACATTTCCGACGGCTCGTGAAGGCGGCGCTAGTTTCATTGTGGGCCCTGCAGAGCTAACGCCATCACACGCAGCGGCCACGACGAGCGGAGCACGGCGACACCAGGGCAGCCAGTCTCACTGTCAAACCACTTCATCACAACGGCAATGGAGTATAGTGCTGCGGGATATTAGAGGCGTTTGAACAGGTAAGACGTGTCCCCTTCCTCTCATCACTCTGCTGCCTTGGTACCTCTGAAGCAGAGTGACTTACTTTGATTTTTTTCTCTCTCTCCATGTAGTATCAATATTATTGACATTTCTTCAACGTTAAAAGGCGCTTTAGCATGTTAGCTAGCTACGCTTTCTCCCGCTCCTCTACATGGGAAGGCTGTCTTTTTTTTTTTTTTTTTTTTTTTTAATGACACCCGGTGTGTATTTCGGTGAAATGTTGTTACACACCAGCACATATCTAGCCCGTGTCACTGGAGTGAAGACACGGGTTTCCCGGAGCTAATTAACCTCAGACAAGTCAACGGAGAAACAGAAGGAATACTTTACGTTTGTTATCACCCGGGAGGCGTTTAGCCCTGAAAGCATCTTGACGCATTGGTGTCAGGGTCCTCTGCTCGGGTTGTTTACCATGCTTACCCCCCCCAATCATCATCAGCAGCAGCATCTCCCTCTCCCTATAGAGGCTAAATGGAGAGTCAGGCGAAGGACACAACCTCACGTGATTGGCAGTCTCTCTCTCCCTCTCCCTCTCTCTCTCTCTCTGTCTCTTGTATATACCTGGGATGCGTTTAGGCGCTCCCGCGTGCATTAGGGAAACCGTAGTGCTCAGCAGACTTTGAGGACCAGCTCTCATTCCTCCACGCATCGAGGCGCGCGATGCTGGTAAAGTGTGTCGGCATCACTTGAGAACACCACCCACCCAAGCTGATGTTTGGTCGGTGATAAGATTGCCTCCTCTCATATGATGACGGCCCTCTTCCTCTAACTGCTTCCATCACCTTTCCATCCCTCAATCCTTTCATTTAGCCTATAAAACCTCACCACAGCCATTTTCTTAATCATTGTCTGCACAATCGGTGTCATTGATAGTATTGTCGTCGGCTGCCCAACAGTTTCTCCCAATGAAGCGGCCTGTATTTACAACAGGCGACAGACAGCAAGACGTGCCACTTGGAATGACTTTATTTTTAGGTGGCTCTCAGGGGAAAAACTGCAAAATCACACAGGTGCAGGTGTATGGAAACCCAGTGTATGGATCAGTCCCCAGGCTGCCGGCATCATCTCTGTCTGAGTGGTAGTAGTCTTTGAAACCAAGCACAGAAACCAGAAGCGCTTTATGAAATATATTTGTTTTTTTCCTGTAGAAGCTGTTGCGTCACGTTGTCCAGGTCTGAATATCTCAATTCAGCAGACATCAAACAAATCTTTACGTCCATGTTTGTGTTAAAAACTCATCGATGAGTTATGAGTTGAGGGCTGCTCCTCTTTCTTTTTTTTATTATCGGTGCTGTACAATGGGATGAGGCATCGCTCTCTATCGCTGATTAAAGTCCCCTGTGTTTAGCATGCGGGCCCGGTTAGACAGACAGCTTTAAACGGCTTGTCATCCTCCTTACAGGCGCTGCCAAATTACTGCGCTCCTGATCCCAGCTCACGCCGGATACTTTGTTTTTGGCAGGAGAGACCTGATCAGGCAGGTTATCACACAGGGGTGAGGACAGTAGAACACAGGAAAGCTAATGAAGTAGTAGATCTTTACCAGCTGATCTTTTATTTTAGTCCCAATGATACACTTGGGGAAACTCAAATCTGCAATCTGCTTTTAGATTTTTGTTTTTCTAAAAGCATCCCTTGAAGTTACTTTGAGGAACTTCTCTCTGGTTATAAAACAGTCTGGATTTAAAGCTACCATGAGGAACTTTCCTTCTGTGTTGATTGTGGCGGTCCCTGTGGACGAAAGAGGTAGTGTTTGCGAGTCCTGGTTAGTCTCAGTCTTTTAACTTTAAAAGAAATGTTTCGCTTATGGTCACATTTTCTCATATAGAGGCATGAGTTCTGAATTCAGACTATTTGTTTTAACTAATTCAATTTAAAAAATATTAATCACTTTAGCCATTTTTAATGCCAAAATTACAATTTTACTGGCTAAAGTTATTGGATATTTGCTGTTTATGTTGGTCTTCTGTGAAACTTAAGTGAATGTCTTTGGATTTTACACTGATGGTCTGGAAAAAAACATCAATTTAAGAATGTTAATTTTGGGCACTGGGAAATTATGATGTGCATTTTTCAGTATTTTCTTTTTTTTGAGCCAAATAATGAATTTATTGAACAAATGTGAATCTTAAATGAATAAAAAATGAATCTGCAATGAATCCGTAACACTGAATAGCGGTAATCTTTTTCACTTGTACACAGCGAGTGTACTCTAAGATACAAATATACATCTAAAGACAGCCAACATGTCTCTGCTTGACCAAAATGTAGAGAGTCTTTTTCCCAGGGCTTTCCACCACATCTCATGGTCTTCATCAGGGAGGCAGTTTGCTCAGTTGTCATGGAGCTTGAAGTTCATCCTCAGGTGATCATCCTAAGTTCATCACTTGATAACAAGTGAGCGATCTCAGCTGAGCAAACTTTGCTGATGAAGATGTAAGATGCGATTGAAAGCTCCAGAAAAAGCCTAGTAAGTGGACCTTGAGTATATGTGCAGTATATACAGCTTTCTTTGATGTGCAATTCCTAGTAAGAGGATATTAAATGCTATTGCAGACATTGCTTAACCACCAGAATACTGTGACAACCAGCATATTAAATCAAACCCAGTGTTTTCACACTATTGATTAAATGTAGCACCCCCGCCGGTGCAGTGGAGCAGTCAATAACATCACACGGAGCTTGCGGTGGGTCAGATGGCCCCGGCTCATACGTCTGGGACGGGGAAAGCAGTCAGCTGCTCCTCCACGCTCAGCGTCACTCCACAACCTCTGAGGTCAGAAAGACATCGCTACAGTGTCGTCCTTTGTGTCACGCTCCCAGAGGAGAGGGACGAACTCCCCCCCCCCCCCCCCCCTGCTGAGGCTGAGTCGTGACATAGCTATTGTTACAGATGAGTAAATGTTGAGCCACAGATTGAGGTTGAAGACGTACCGTACACTTAAACGTGTTTTTTAAGCTTCTGACTAAATGATATGGCTGGGATGATGTTAACCTGGACGTTTCTCACCAAATTTAATAAAAACTGTGATGTAAAAAGCCATCTTCCGTTTTAAATCAGCTCTAATATCGCAAGGCCAGCTCCTAGATAGAGTTGACCGTTCTAGACTAATCTATGTCATGAAATAAATAAATAAATGTTCACGCCCTCTGATTAGA